GCCATCTTAAAACACAACCAAAGCATCATTTGATGATGTTTGGCTTGTAAATGCTTGATCATGTTACTTAAAATTTATGTGTGTGCGTTCGCATGCATATGTGTGTGTGTGCGTGTTTTCATTTTCAAACATTTTTATATGCATATATGCGGATGACAACATATCGATTCATAATTTATTTATGATTTTTAAATTTATTACATGATCATGAATAGTTCATATTGGACTTAATAATTTAACTAATCAAATCTAAATAGACTTGTTTGCTTAACGAGTCAAGCCAAACAACCTCTATGGACTGTGCTAACTAAAACTTAAACAGTGTTTATATCCATACAAGTCATACATTTCAAAATATTATTATGAGTGTTTAATATAAACTTTTAGTCATTCGAAATATACCTATAAAGTGGAACAGTATTTTCCGAGGAACCTGTCACAATCTCTTGAAGCGAGGGAGAGTTGAAGATGTTTCGAACCTTTTGATCACCCTTGAAACCAGTAGCAAAGATGACTAAATCAGCCTTTATAGGCGTAGATTCACCTTCCAATATTACACCATCTTCACAAAACTCAAAGCTTTTTGAATGTTTTAGAATAATGCTATTATTTTTCACCCTGTCATAAAATTTTTCCGGTATTATACCAAATAATGCGGCACTCATTGCTTCAAAGAAGCTATGGTCTGGAACCATTCCATACTTCTGTATGGGAGTGGTTTTTTTGATGTAGCTCTCGACAAGCTTAGATATAACCCACCGCTATATTGAAACAAAAAAATAAATAAAGAAATAAATAACATGAACTTTCTAAATTAAAAAATAAATGAAGTTGGTGTAGAGTATTTACAAAAGGAGAAAGCATAGTTGCCAAAAAGCTTAGTATGATTCCTTCTCCGGGCTTGTGAAAGAGTAGTTCTGAGAAGCGATTGAAATACAAGTAACTGAAAGGGACACCCCATGCTGAGAAATCTAGTACGTTCCATCTTTTCGTTCGAACAATCATCGTACAAGGAAGCTCCGGACCTACAAGTGCAAATTTAAGAAAAACGAGAATAAAGGATGGAATTGTTTCGTGTAGACTAAGTTACTTTATGAATGTGTGGAGCATTATAGTACATGGTTGCATATTAGGGGCGTTAAAGCGGGCTCACGTGTTGAGTTCAGCTCAAACCTGAAATTGACCCGAACACAACCTAAATTTTAAATGGGTCAGAAAATCTAACTTGAACCCGACACTCCTTCAACCTGGCTGACCAGAACTCGACCCACACAACTCATTTAATATATACAAAATAGCTATTTGGGTCAATTTTAAATCAAGTTCTAGTCAAATTCTAGTTAATTTTGTGTTGATTGGTCAAATTCAACTCATTTCCGGTTTTAGCGATCAATCTGAATCCGAACCAAGAAAATAATCATTTTATAATATTTTTTACTAAAACCCAACATGAAAATTAATTAGTTCAACCAGAGCCTGAATTTATTGAGTCGGTTTTGAGTCGCAATGACAAATAGAATCAATTTTTGACACCTTTTCCATTTTATATGAGCGCAAAGTTGTATAGCACTGTCATGTGCTAATTATATACTGCATTTAATTTGAATAAACAATGACTATGAAGAGTATGTGGCAACTCTATCACATTTTATAAACAAATTTAATGATGATAGTAACAATAATCATACCATTAATATTAGCGCATTCTGCAGCGACGTCAAGAGCCGATTTGAGGAAACCAACGATAACGACATGTTTGCCATTAACAAGCTTGGCAGCAGCAGTGCTTCCCATGTTGGCTAAGTCCATGGAGTGGATCACCTTACCATTGAAGGCCTCAGGGCCTTTGTTGTTAGCAAAGTTGGGGATATTTGGGAGGCCGCTAAATCTTCCTAAGCAGAGGACAACAAAGTCCATGACATGCTCCTATGATATGGGGAAACTAATGTTAGTTTGTAATAGTTTAATACTGAGATTTACGAACACACAATCCTAAAAAAACTATCCTTTTTGCAAAATCTCATTTTTAAGTTAAAATTACCACAACAGCCCCGTCTTCCTTCTCAACGGTGACGTTCCAGACTCCACGTCCATCTTCGGCGAACGCATCGCCCGTTCTTCCCCACAAATCCCAGAACGCCATCTGCTCCCAGTCAGAACCAACATAGTCCAAACCCACTACCTTCTCCCCAAACCGAATGTGCTTCATAAGATCAAACCGGCGAGCATAAGCTTCCAAATACTCCATCACCTGCTCGTGGTTCGGCGCTCCCGTGATCGATTCCTGCCACGGGAAGTCAGTGAACCGGTAAAAATCGGTGGGGGTCTGTAGCCGGGTCGAACCAAGCGGGCTAGCCCATACGCCGCCGATGGATCGGCTGGCCCCCAAGGGCCTCGAAGACCGCCGGCCGGAAACCTTTCTCGAGCAGGTACTTGCAGGTGACTAGACCGCTTATTCCCGCACCCACAACGCACACCCGCTTCGACTCCATTAGTATGTTCATTGGTTTCTTCAGTTAAGTGCCATTTTATAGGGAAGCTCCAGGAGTTATTTACCCTTGTAGTTTATTGAAGGTACTAACTTATTGGGATATTTACATACATACCACCCCAATTCTAATTCTTATGTATTTACATTTATCATATCTAAATTTTATTAATACGTGAAATACGTGAAATACCCAATTCTAATTTTTATTTTAGGTTTTAATATGTGAAATACGGCTTTCTTGTGCAAGTAAAATGATGAAAATTAAAAAAAAAATTAATAAATAGATGGTAGATATGTAATTATATATGAATTAAGTGGGGTGTGGGTAAATATTCATGTTATTTTTTATTTAACATGCTTTCCACTAATGATCACAAAATGACGTCGCAGGCTTTCCAATTTTTTTTTTTTATATATATAAAAAAATTCTCACAAAAATATTGCTTCTTAATGCCAAATAATTAACTATTAAAGAATAAGAACAAAAATATATACAAATATATATATATGATAGCAATTATTTGATAAAAATGATAAAAGAAGGTTTTAGGATGGATTGGTATTTATGGCCTTTACCTTTAAATGTTCCTAAAAAATTCACTTGATCAAGCACTAATCTCGGCACAAGTTGAGGTTGGAATGCACTTATGTATAAAAAGAAGTTTTGGAACATATTTTGGGAGATTAAATGATTTCTAAATCTACCAAATTTATAATCAAATCAAACGCCTCAATGAGATGAGTTCAACTAGCCTAAGATTGCTTTGTTTTGATATCATTAAGGCATTGAAATAATCATTAAATTACATATGCTTAAGAGAGTCACTCTATCAAGAGAGTCACTCAGGGACGTCTGATGTAGTGGTCTGGATTCATGCAGTATTTACGGAAGATATCACTCCCAAAATATATAAATAGGCATCCACTTTCCTTATAAATAGGGGTTATACATAGATGAGAAGGCTAAAAGGAGCTCAAATCTCTTGAAAATTTTAGAGCTCCATGAGAGTGTCGGATTACCATCACCGTTCGTCGCTGCCACCAAACCATCATTACCCGTCTGACTGGGCCCACACAATCAAGCCCTCTTTCTCTAGATGGCAACTCAAGATAAAAGAGTAAAACAAAAGAGTGAACACAAAAGCGATTCTAAAGACTTCTAAGTAGTGGAGTAAAAATAAATTGATCTAAAAGAGTAAAAATTAAAAACAGTAAGTAAAAATAGTGAACACAAAAGCGATTCTGAAGACTTCTAAGTAGTGGAGTAAAAATAAATTGATCAAATTAAAAATAGGAGTAAAAATAAATTGATCAAATTCTAACTTAAGTTCAATATAAAAGAGATTCTAAAGACTTCTAAGTAGTGGAGGCTACAAAAGCAAATACACACAAACTTAGCTGAAATCCATAACAACATAAGGAAAATATATGGTAGAAAATTGAAAACATGAAATTTATAAGTGACAATCAGCAATGCTCTGAACCTTCCTAAAAGTTCTGGAAGAAGTTCTACACAACTCAACAAAATACACTAACAACTATGTTTACGCAATTACTACCACAGAATCACAAAATACTTACAACAACATAACACAAACAAAGGTATATAACATACAACAAATGAAATAAGTATAGTCCAAATAACAGTCACAACTAAAAGTTCATACAAATTAACAATAAAGAGTTCAAATAACTATCATAAACAAAAGCGTTCAAACTACTCAATTCACCCCTCCTCATCTTCTTCATCATCATCATCTTCATCCCAAACATTTGTAGGTTCATATTGGGTATAAGGTGGATATGAAGGAAACACCACACTTTGGTCACCTCTAATGAGTCTTTCCAAAGAAGTGTGATATTTTTCTTCATAATCGCTATGCCTTTTAATATAAGAACCAATATGATGTACATGATTTTCTAAATTTAGTACCTCAAATTTGTCTGAATCAAAACTGGACTTCCCCCTGCTCCTCTTAATCTTGGGTGCCATTTTCTAAAAATCATAAAAAATTCACAATAAATCCTAAAATTAAGTCAAAATCACTAAACTCAACTTCAAAAAGCTTAAACTATCAAATCCAACTAGTTCCTACAAATTTTCCTCAAATTTTCAACATAAATAGTGATTTTCGGCCAAATCCACAACGTACTCCAAATATATGGTGAAAATAAAAAAATTATACTTAGGAGTATAGCTCTTACGTTAGGAAGATGATTTCAAAAAAAAATTGGCTCAAATCCAGCCACAAATTTTCACGTTAGACGGAGCCCTAAGTCTCTAAATCGCGAAATATG